TGTCCAAACCACCGGAACCGATTTTCTCTCATATTTCCTTCAATTTTGGCTACTCCTACTTTACCTTGGATATCCTCATTCCCAATCTTATCCTTTCTCGTGTGCCTATACATCCCACGAAGCATCCTCATCTCCGCTACACCCATTTTGTGTACGTGTTGATGCTTCACCGCCCAACATTCTGTGCCATACAACATCGTTGGCCTTATTGCCGTCCTATAAAATTTTTCCTTGAGCTTCAGTGGCCTACGACGATCACACAACACGCCGGATACACTCTTACACTTCATCCATCCAACTTGTATTCTATGGTTGAGATCTCCAGCTAATTCTCCGTTCTCTTGCAAGATAGATCCTAGGTAGCGAAAACGGTCACTTTTTGTGATCTTCGCTAGATTGCTCCGGTCATTAGTGTGGATAAGTATATAAATGGATAGAGATAGGAAAGCAAACACAAGATGTACGTGATTCACCCAGATTGGCTACGTCCACGGAATAGAGGAGGTTTACACAAGTACATAGGTTCAAGCTCTCCTTTAGGGAGTACAAGTGAATGATTTAGTACAAATGACTTTAGGAAATATTGTGGGAGAATGATCTCGTAACCACGAAACTTCTAAGTCCCGGAGTGTGATATCGGCTTGACTTTCCTTATCTGTCTCATAGGTAGATGTGGAATCTTCTCTGGAAGTACTCTTCCTCCATCCAGGGGTGGTATCTGTAACTGGTGGAGATGCACAAGGTAATGTATCAATGTCACTTGAAGCTTACTTGTAGTTTCAGGCTTGGTCAAGCGCGATACAAACCATGTAGTAGGAGTCCCCCAAGTCGCCGAGCTAGGGGATCTGCTGAAAGAGGTAACAGACAAGGTAAGCAATCAGAGCTCCGGCTGATTGTTCACATTCTCCCTATCTTGCAGGCAGCATGAAGGATAAAGAGAAGAAAAATGAGAAAAGATGATATGGGATACTTTTGCTTTTGAAGAAGTAACTTTCCACAGGCTTATTCTTGAACTGGGCTGGAGGGTTTTCTGGTTTCCTCCAAAGTATAAGGCCGACTGAAGAATTTGAGGGTCAAAACAAGTCCATCAAATCTAGAGTACGTTCGACCCTGCTGATATGGGATACTTTTGCTTTTGACAGAGTAGTGGATGTATCGGCACGTGTGCTGTTACGCTTGTCTCCACATGCTTCCTTGTATCCTTCTCACTTGCCCTATCTGTTCCTCAGGCAGATGCGGTATCTTCCTTGGGAGCATAAGATGTTGAAGATGAGTACTCGAGAGCAATGCCAGGGTAAGGGGTTCCACGCAGTCAGTTCCTGGCTGGAAGCTTGATTCCAAGTGCTGACTGATTGCTCTCTTTCTCCTTGTCTTGCAGGTAAGAACAAGGCCAAAGGAAAAGACAGGGAAAAAGCATGATATGAGATACTCTTGCTTTTAACCCTGATGATATGAGATATTCTTGCTCTAGTATAGCTTGTTTACAGAGGTATTATCGGGGGGAAAGAAAGCTGAATATTTCGAAAGGCTTCGTTGGGGAGTGCCCTCTCAGATAAGAGGAAGGGTTGAGCATTTTTGCAGGTCTGCCTGTCCGTTGGGGATGGAGGTCGACATATATAGAAGTCTCCCTAACATCAAGTAATAATGCTATTCCTTTACCCTGCTTGGTCATAGCACGGTAGTGGGAGCTGCCAACTTCACAAGTTTTAACTCTGTCAGAGCACTTTGAAAAAGTGGTCTGTGGTATCTGGAAAGCTGATGTTGCGTGTGAAGATTACAGACAAGCTTTATCCAAGGAGATCCGGCTCTTGAAGTTGGGAAAGTGGTGCCTCTTCGGTTTTCGAACAAGCAATCCTGTCAGGGATCTGGCTCTCGAGATTCGGAGAACGATGCCTCTTCGATTTTTGAGAAAGCAATCATGCTGGGGGTCTGGCTCTCGAGATTCGGAGAACGGTGTCTTCGATTTTTGAGAAAGTAATCATGTTGGGAGTTGGGAGTGTTTTTCTCGAAATATGAGTAAAGGTTGGGCATGTTTTGCTAGTCTACCTTGCCACGAAGCACAGAGGTTGACACACAGGGACTTTCCAATTATCCAGCAGTGGTACTGTTCCTTTACCTTCTCTTCGATTTTTGAGAAAGTAATCATGTTAGGAGTCTGACTCTCGAGATTCGGAGGGCGGTGCCTCTTCGATTTTGGAGCAAGCAATCTTGTTGGGGGTGTTTTCTCGAATGTGAGTAAAGGTTGGGTATGTTTGCTAGTCTACCTTGCCACGAAGCACAGAGGATGACACACAGGGACTTTCAAATTATCCAGCAGTGGTTACTGTTCCTTTACCCTCTCTTCGATTTTTGAGAAAGTAATCATGTTGGGAGTCTGGCTCTCGAGATTCGGAGGGCGATGCCTCTTTGATTTTGGGGCAAGCAATCTTGTTGGGAGTGTTTTCTCGAATGTGAGTAAAGGTTGGGCATGTTTGCTAGTCTACCTTGCCATGAAGCACAGAGGTTGACACACCGGGACTTTCCAATTATCCAACAGTGGTACTGTTCCTTTACCCTTGTGGGTAATAATATGGTAGCTAGGCCGTCAAAAATTTATGTGTCTAAACTTTGTTAGTGTTGTTTCTTTGCTATTCTTTTACCCTTCTTGGTCAGAGCGATGTAGTGAGAGTTGCAAGCTTCACGTGTCTCGACTTTGTCAGAGAACTTTGGCAAAGTTATATGTGGTACCCATGAGCTACTGTTGCGTGTGGGAAGTGGGTGATTGAACAGTACGATTCCTGTGCTTTCTACTTCGCCAGAAATCTTCGATAGAATGCCCATAATTTCCGCAAAGCTGAGTGTGCGTGTGACAGGTGCTGACAAGGCTGGAAAAGTAGTCTCAACTTTTGTCAGAGAACTTTGGCAAAGTTATATGTGGTACCCATGAGCTACTGTTGCGTGTGGGAAGTGGGTGTGATTGAACAGTACGATTCATGTGCTTTCTACTTCGCCAGAAATCTTCGACAGAATGCCCATAATTTCCGCAAAACTGAGTGTGCGTGTGACAGGTGCTGACAAGGCTGGAAAAGTAGGTGCCTCTTCGATTTCTGAGATTGACCCTCGTGGTCTCTGAGCAGCCCAGCTTTTGAGAAAGCAAACCTCTTCGATTTCTGAGATCGGCCCTCGTGGTCTCTGAGCAGCCCAGCTTTTGAGAAAGCAAACCTCTTCGATTTCTGAGATCGGCCCTCGTGGTCTCTGAGCAGCCCAGCTTTTGAGAAAGCAAACCTCTTCGATTTCTGAGATCGGCCTTCGTGGTCTTTGAGCAGCCCAGCTTTTGAGAAAGCAAACGCCTCTTCGATTTCTGAGATCGACCCTCGTGGTCTCTGAGCAGCCCAGCTTTTGAGAAAGCAAACGCCTCTTCGATTTCTGAAGCTTCGTCGAGTGCAGATTTTTATAGAGGCTGACATTAAGTTCCAAAGCACACTTGAATATCCACCAGTAGAAGCTCCATTCTTGCACTTCTAAGATCTTGATTTGTCCGACCTCTTCTCTTTTCTACACCTCTGAAAATGTTTGGCCCCTCTGACCGTCGTTTTGACTTGAACCTTGTTGAAGAGGCAGCCCCGCCTTCTCCAGACAACATATGGCGCCCATCCTTCGTCTCCCCTACTGGTCCTCTTACCGTTGGGGATTCCGTGATGAAGAATGATATGACCGCTGCGGTAGTGGCCAGGAACCTTCTCACTCCCAAAGATAACAGACTACTTTCCAAACGGTCTGATGAGTTGGCTGTTAAGGATTCTCTGGCTCTTAGTGTTCAGTGTGCAGGTTCTGTGTCTAATATGGCCCAACGCCTATTTGCTCGAACCCGCCAAGTTGAATCATTGGCGGCTGAAGTGATGAGTCTCAAACAGGAGATTAGAGGGCTCAAGCATGAGAATAAACAGTTGCACCGGCTCGCACATGACTATGCTACAAACATGAAGAGGAAGCTTGACCAGATGAAGGAATCTGATGGTCAGGTTTTACTTGATCATCAGAGATTTGTGGGTTTGTTCCAAAGGCATTTATTGCCTTCGTCTTCTGGGGCTGTACCGCGTAATGAAGCTCCAAATGATCAACCTCTGATGCCTCCTCCTTCTAGGGTTCTGTCCAGTACTGAGGCTCCGAATGATCCCCCCTCCGGTGCCTTCTCTTTCTGGGGCTCTACCGACTGCCGAGACTTCTCCTAAGCAACCTTTGTGAAGGCTCCCTCTTGTTTGTTTATTTTGACTCAAGTATATGTACATATTTGTAATTTATCGGGGATATCAATAAATAAGCTTTCCTTCATTTCAGCGTATTGTGTTAAATCACCAAAGCCTTTTTCGCTAAGTTCTTTGAATTTTCTTTTGTTGAAGCTTGTATGTTGGAGCTTTGTGAGTGGAGCATGTAGGTTGAGGTAGTGTTCCCTTAATTTCCCGAGCGAGGACAACTTCTCGGTTGGAGACTTGGAAAATCCAAGTCACTGAGTGGGATCGGCTATATGAATCTTAGAACGCCATTGTGTTCTGTCCTGTGTCATGTCCTCCGTTAGATCCAAGTACTCTAAGTCTTTTCTTAGGGTCTCTCTCAAAGTTTTCCTGGGTCTTCCTCTACCCCTTCGGCCCTGAACCTCTGTCCCATAGTCGCATCTTCTAATTGGAGCGTCAGTCAATAGCATATTGATACTACAAAAGAATATTTAAGTCAGAAGTATTTTCGTCAAAGAGGGCTAGTGATATTTAGATTTTAAAAGGAGGGCTGTTTTAGATTGTAATTCAAGCCAATTTCCATAGATAAAGTACGTGATGATTCTTTTTGGAGGAAAAGGATCATCGCCGGATCTTTTCATACGGATTTTAGGAATCTCGTGATCTTATCCGTTCATTGTATATCGTGTGGTCAGAAATCATTTCAAAATTTGAAATTAAATATTAATAGTACTTAACGAAAACTGATCGCACGATATACAAATGGATAAGATCACGGGATCATTTTCCCTTTATGAAGTCACGATAGCAACTTCCATGTATAAAAGTTATCCCCACGCAAGAGAAGTGGGCCAACATAGCATTGAAGTTACCCGTCAAATAGAAGACACTGAGAGAGAGGGCTTTATTGAAGTATTCTACCTCCTCCCCGGCATATAAAGATATCCTTCCACTGCCCTAAATTTTCCGGCTTCATCCATCTTCACCCCGCGAGTGATTCTATAAAACATGATTTCCACAACTACAAGTAGCTGTAGCACAAAGTCCATGGAAGATGTTTGGAAAGACATTAGCCTGGCGTCTCTTTCTCGTAACGCCAGCGACAACACCACCACCTCCACTCACCACCCCACTGCCGCTGCTTTTCGGGGCATCACGTTTCAAGATTTCTTGGCTTCTACTAGTACTACTTCCTCCAACATCGACCCACCACCACCCGCTGCCGCTAGTACTGTTCTACGCTTGAATTGTGGGACTCGATCTGATCTTAAACAGCATTTACTTGAAACCACTAGTGCTACTATCACTGGTCCTGCTCTATTGAAACCAAACCCAATTACTCGTCCTACTAGTACTAGTGTTACTACTACTACTACTAGGCCCAATTCTTTGAATAATCCCTCTTCAGTCTTCCCTTCTTGCTGCAAGAAAAGGGCTCTAGATGATCATGATCAAAATCGCGAGGATCATCACAACTCCACTAATGGCCGCCATAAGCGCATGATGAAGAATCGAGAGTCCGCTGCTCGCTCCAGAGCCCGAAAGCAGGAACCTTTCTGTCCATCTATTTCATTACTGATCGTGTGCTCTTACACTACTACTTTTGTTTTGTTTGGTTCGTGAATATATAGCATACTTTTGGAATTTGGATGCAGGCTTATACAAATGAGTTGGAGATTGAAATTGCACAGCTGCGGGAGGAAAATGCCAGGCTCAAGAGACAGCTGCAAGCAAAGTCGATGATCAATTCAGTATGTTTTTGCTTTCCTTTCAGCGTAGATTATAACTCGTATATATAAAAATAAATAAAGGAAAAATTAGTATCCGGTCCCTAGTTCTTACTGTTCATTGACTAAGACCTTATTAGTTCTCAAATTTTGATTCAAGTCCTTATCATTAATGTGATAATGAATTTACATGTTTATTATATAATTTTTAATATAAAAATTAGTAATTAATTTAGGGTTTAATACTCACACCTTTATTAAACTTCTAATTAATTTTCAATTCAAACATTTCCAAAATAATAAAAAATTAAATTAAATTAAGTTTGTACCTATTAGTTTTTTTTATATATATAAAAAGATTCTCAATTTTTTTTAATCTTAAATGTACCCATTCATATAATTTTTCAATTTTTTTTAATCTTAAATGTACCCATTCTCAAATATATCAATTTGTTATATGTAAAATGTACCCTTTTTTTAATATAAAATCCATTCAAATTTTTTAATCCATGTTTAAACTTATATGGGTACATTCTTTTTCGTTGATTTGAGAATGTATCAATGTTTTGGTACAATAACTTTTTTTGTTAATTTTGGTTAATGTACCCATGCATATATGTGTATATATACACACACACACACAATATAATAGAGAGTATAATTTATATTTTATTATTTTTAATCCCATAAATTATGGGTTTTATTTAAAATCTTATTAATATAAACAATTACAAATTTCAATTTTTAATTTTTAATTTAAAAATATAGTAACTTACATTATTACATTAATGTTAGGGACCTCAATAAAAAACTAAAAACTAACAAAGTTTCAATAAAAGAATATTGATAGTTAGGGACCGCATCCAAAGTGTCCCATAAATAAATAAATAGGCTGATTGGTTTTTCTGTGATTGCAGTCCTGCTTGGCTCCCTCTACCCTTGCTCAGCGGCTGCTTCCAAAAAGGCAAACCCTGTTCAGAACTTCAACAGCTCCATTTTGATCAGTTAAGGCAACCTCAAACTGCATGAAACAACCATTCCTTCCCTCCTATATGTAAAATGTTATGCCTTTCTTTTCTCTTTCATTCGCCTCCACCTTAACCTTATGCTTATCAGAAGAAATTAAAATAGTTTTGTTGAGAATGCGAATCCAATGTCGGAAGTTAAGGACTTTGCATGTGAATTGGACTACTTTCATATTACTAATTGATTTTATAGTGAAATCTTAACTTTTTCTAAACGTTTCGATAAGCTTAACTTCTCGTATGTTAGTATTTTCTTTATCGCATTGTGTTTGTAGCATTATTCTTGTGCGATCGAGGGAGAGGGAGGAGTGGGTAGGGAACAGGTAAAATGCATGCTTCCAAACGAAAGCCATTTGCCACATATTGGTTAATCTATAATACTAGATGGGACATGTTTGGCTAATAATTAAAGTCATCGTATTTCCTAACCTTATCTCTCTCTCTCTCTCTCTCTCTCTCTCAAACTTCTTCTGTCTTCTTCAACTGAAATTTTTTCTAGTTTCTATGGCAACTTTTGGAATTTTGCTCGGTAATTTTATGTTTGTCCTGCAAAATCCATGCATGTTTAATGTAAGCAATGTCGCACTAAATCAATGGTTTTACCGGTTACATTAAAACACTTAAAACGATATATAGAATTTCATATTTATACAAATTATATGATGTAAATAACGGTAAACTTTTGAAATGGTGTTACACAACTCAATATCGAGTCATGTAACAATATTTTTGAGCATTTATATACTGTAAAACACCCCACATTTGTTACATTATGAAATGTCTATGTACATGTGTTATTAAATAGATCAACTGACATAGCTTGTAGCTAGCTAGTACATTCGTTACATTATTATCATTCTTTTACAAATTATAAGATAATTACAATGCATGCTTAATCAAATTACGTCACAGTTAGGTATCAAGTTAACCATAAATATATATTGTTATTGTCGTTCATGATCATGGGAATTGAAAAACCTCTTTATGAAGACAAATATAACTAACCAAAGACTCGTTGTTCACTTATTATATTAGTTTACTTGTGGTGTAAATTAATATATCGTGACATAAAATAACGTAAATATAGTACGCTTATCAATTATCATCTCAAGAAAATTGTTAATATAATCAAATCACCAAGTTGGTCCAATTATAAAACAATTTTTGTTTGCTTCATTGACAGTTCACACTCACACTTCACTAACATGTAATTATAATATTCTCTGTAATCATCTCTCTGGACTGAAGGGTTGTGGGAATGCAATTTTTATGTTTGATGTGGGGGAGGGATCAATTTGGTGAAATGCTTTTGCAAATTGCAATTACTTAATTATTGATGAAGAGATAAGCATACCACTCTTGCCAAATTGCAATTAATTAATTATCAAACACAATATAAAAGCACAGAGAACGGTCTGGTGGTTTAATTTTTCACTTTTTGATAAAATTACGGATAAGGGTGGACGAACTGATGTGTTTTACTTTTAATTTTTAAAGTATGTTAAAAAAAAATTAAATACACCTCTTATATTTTGAGCTGAACAATAACTGTCAGGTAGCCGATTTCCGACCGACACACTGAGAATTGCTTCATTTACTCTTCAATTAGGATTCTTTCCCCTTCTATTCTCATCTTTTTTTCTCCCCTCCTCTCATATATTACTTTTTTTCTTATTATCTTTATAAAAAAATCAATATAAGATGTTGACGTGATTAAACCGTAATTGTTCAAATAAGAAGAGATGGAAGAAAAGAAAAATTAGGAGGTCCTTCGCTGCCTGGTCGATGTCAGAGTTCATGTACGGTAATCGTGATCTGTGGGGATTGCATCATCACAAAGTCCATGGACACGATGAGGGTTTTGGACTCTATAGTTTTCAATTTGGGCCGACTCCCTACTCAAAGTAGTGGCCCGCCCAGTTGCGGTAGTCGAGCCGTTTTTCTTCTTGCTTTACCCTGAAATAAAGCAAAAATTACCCATATACTAAATTGTCATCAAAATTCGAAACCCCAAAAAAGTCAGTTCAAAATTTCTACCTCTATTTTATGTGTGGTTTTTATCATTTATTAACACGTATTAAGTTTATTTCATGTTCTGCTACACGAAAGAAACAGTGGGATTCTATGGTGAAGCCAACCCAGCCCAAACCCGCTAGAACCTACCCGTAATGTAATCATTGTTAAACTAAACGGCATAATTCATCTCTTTCATTTTTCTCTTAAGTATTGAGTTTAATGTATTTTTCCCAAATGTGATGTTATCAAAGGCTTACATGTGAAAATGCTATTCTGTAAGTTGTGCTCTACTACGCTAAAATTCCTAGTCTCCTTGGTTTATGAATTTCTCTTTGTTATACGTATTTATAAATATAATTACTGTATTTGTATTTAACGTGCATTACATGGAAGACCCAATTTTCTTAGAAAATTAGAAGAGAAAATCATTATAAATTTGGATCGCAACAGTAAGTTTGTGGCATCTGCAAGTTCCGGACAATGTTACTAATCATATTATTTCCTTTCTTGCTATAAGTTATAACAGACCTCACTCGTTTCGGCTGTGTGTCCAAACGCTAAACCTAATTGGTAATTTAAAAACTATTAATTGGATTGGATAAATTAAAATTTTATTGGCATTATTTTCTGTTTGAAATTTACAGTCGAATTAATTTGGTTTTTGATTGTTTCCTTTCCTGCAGTGTTGTAGGTAATTTAGTTTGCAAATATACCGTTGGGCATGCTTGCTTTTAAGGAGACCGTACGCAAACGAGGAAATGTTAGAAAGTGAATAGAATAAAGTTTTTGTCAGATGTAGGATCATCAAGGTTGTTTTCCATTAAAATTGCTTTAATGCAATTCTTGCTAAGATTAAGCAAGCTAATTGCGTACTATTAAGAGAAAACTAACGCTTATGGAGGGATTCCATCCACTAATACAAAATTTAAGGCTAACTAATGTGGCTCGTCATTATTTAGTTATTGCGTTTGTTTTTCTAATTGTTGGTCAAATGTATAGAATTAATTTGGAGATTATGCACAACATAAAAAAATCTTTTAGAAACACATATTCCTCAGGAGCCATTGGGGGCACGGAGAGAAAAAGGTAAGTTGATGGATGAATTGTGTGTGAATACAAGAACGAAAGCGATTTCCATTAAAATTGATACCACCAAGGTGTTGGAGTTGAGTACAAAGTGCCGCACTGAGACGCAACTTTGTATCTGGGCTGCTGCAAAATCCTTAATAATACCACTTGAAGTGGAACACTTAACCATTTTGCCTTATGCTAGAATGGGGTTTCTTGTATCTAAATAACCACTAATCATTTTGTTTTCAGATTGATGTCAATACTCAAACATGTAAATATAGCATAAATTGTATAGTCCACAACCACTATACATGCTTATCTCGCACGCACCACAAACGTGCATTCAAACCACCTTCCTAATTTTGTTTGTATTTTGAGAGAGAAGGATTTATATGCATCCTATCAATATTACTGTGACGTTTTAGGCCAATAGTAGAATATAATGTGTAAGTTTATTTTCACATGGTAGTCTGTTATTGATTTTGGGATACTTTAAGTCATTGTTAAAGTTTAATAGATGGTTCAGTATGTTACTACTAATCACATCTCTACTATCTCAACTTAATCACATGCATAACTCGACATTACAAGAAACATCAATATAGTTGGCAGTGAAACCATCCAATTTAAGGGGGATTTAATCATGAGGTTTGTAACGGGGTCATTTGCTTCAACCTTCTTGCTTGTATAGTCAAAGTAATCACGGATTAAAGGGGGTATATTTAATTAGGCTGTTAGCCAATGACTCAAAGGCCCATGAAAATAGCCCATAGAGAAATAGCACTAAAATCAGTTCAAAACGCACTTTAAAGAATACTTTAGCCTTACACCCCACAAAATATCATTACAGAAGTGTAAGCGTGTGAGTCAGCACACAGATTCTAGGATTAAGCAAGTCCACTGATAAATCTGATACAAATATTCGACCCAAAAAAGATAAATATATGCGAAATTTCTTCAATCCTACGATGCAAGAAATTAGCCTTACCATTCAAAGTGCATGTGCATGTATAATGGGATCATCGTTCAGTTGAGTTGTTGATAAATAACCTGTTACTAAAATTTATGCTTAGATTGCTAACAACAGTATAATGGCAATGGCGTGCTCTGTAAACTATTTTCAGTTATATATTTATTATAACGCGTGAAATAATACACTACATAACTTGTATTTTCAATTTCTATAAAGTTTCTCAAATTAGGATTAGGAATACTACTACGTACCAATACCATCACCACTGTACCGGCCTCCACCACCCCGATATCCAATTAATCCAATATAGATGAACGATGTGGCAATTAATGGAAATCAGATTATAAAATTAAGCAAGATAAGAGCGCAATAATTTGATTAATATGGGTGGGTTTAGAGTCTAGGTTCTAGAGATATATCCTACTAATCCCACTATTGACTTGACGTATGTAGCCCAATTAAGATCTTTCCTCTTCACCACTTAAGTACGTAATCCTCCTCCTGTCACCTTTTATCTTCTATATATATATATATATGCACCAGTGAATTAGCTACCCAGGTACAAAAACAATCTCTTAGCTAGCTAGCTTAGCAGAGTGTGAAGTGCATGAACAAGAGAGAGATCAAAATGCGCATAAAAAACATCTCCGTTTTCACGTCTTTCGGTACTTTTCTAGTGCTCCTGATCATCGTCTCGTTTCATGTACAAACCAAAGCAGCTGATGGTGATGATCAGAATGCCGGGAGATGGAGTCGGAGCGACCGCGTTTATATCGTGTACATGGGTTCCGCGGCAGTCTCATCAACAAGTAGTGATGATCTTTCTTCCTTAAAGAATGATCATGCTCAGCTTCTCAGCTCTGTCAGAACACGGTCGGTAATTCTACGAATATTTTTAAGTATAATCAGGCTGTCCATTTAATCATGTAGACGTACGTGTAACATGAAGATGAAGATTGGAACTACCTTTAGCTTGGAACTAATTTGATTAACGTGTCTGTCTGTTTACTAATTAATTAGGTTATCCTACTAAATTGGAGCTAGTTAAGCTGTCCCCCCTTCCTAAACTTTACTACTTTGTTCTGTCGTTAAAATTTTGATTTCATATGTTTATTGTAAGAGGAAATTACTTGAAGTTGAAAGTTGAATAGTAAGGGTTATATTTGTGGGTGCAGGAAACCAAATGCAGTTGTGTACACTTACAAGCATGGTTTCTCAGGGTTCGCGGCTCGTCTCTCGAACGAAGAGGCGAGATCCATTGCTGAAAAACCTGGAGTTGTATCAGTTTTTCCCGATCCCTTATTGAAACTCCACACTACTCATTCTTGGGATTTCCTCAAGTATCAAACTGCTTTAAAAATCGACTCAAGTATCAAACTGAAAAACCTGGACTTACCGAAAATTAAAACCATCTCAAGAACTGTTCCCAAAGAATTTTCTTGCCCCACGGACTCCAATGCTGATTACATATCCAACATCAACTACCCTTCAATAGCAATTTCCAACTTTAATGGAAAAGAGAGCAAGAACGTAACCAGGAAGGTAACGAACGTTGCAGGAGATGGCGAAACGGTTTTCAGCGCTACTGTGGATGCGCCTAGCGGTCTAACTGTGAAAGTGATTCCTGAAAAGCTGCAATTTTCCAAGAACAACCAGAAGCTGAGTTACCAAGTGGTTTTCTCTCCTACAACTTCCTCTCCCAAGGAAGATACGTTTGGGTCTGCAACATGGACAAACGGAAAGTACAGAGTCCGAAGTCCTTTCGTTATAGACATTTGAAAACTGATAGGAAGTATTTCAATAAATCAAGTTATAACTATCATAGCTATGTGTTGCCTCTGCAATAAACAGCTGACCTAATAATATAGCAAACAGCTGCTGACAATGTAAAACCCGCGAATACCTGCTAAATGAAATGATAACACAAAATAAAACCCCGACCTGCTAATCAAATGCAACACCACAAGAAATCAAGAGATTGGCATGTCATGAAATGACTCCAAAGGAATTCAATGAAAACTTAAGCTGACCTCCACAGTCAATTTGGAAGGGGAAGCCCCTGCCTACAGCAGAAGCCACTCTTTATTTCAATCATTCATCTTCCCTAATCACCACATCCGACTCACTATGGTCTCATCACAATCCGGCCTTACCAATGCCAGTTTCCAATTATATTGGAAAAGACTACAATCTATACACATAAACTAAAATGCAATGATTTGGGTAAAATCAAAGAGGCCATATCAAATCGGAAATTCATTCTGCCTAAACAATCAATCAAATCAGAAGACAAGATTGAAGATAGAGTAAGAACCACATTTTAAATATATTATCATAACAAAAGAGAACCACTTAACATCACAGTTTGCAGGTCTAGATGAGCTAGAAGTGAGGTGGAAGAAAATAACAGTCGTAAAGGACTTCACTGAGTCACAAAACGTTTCAGATAACAGATAGAAACTAAGTCGCGAAACGTTGCAGATAACAGATAGAAACAGCACTCCACAACCACAGCTCATAAAAGAGTTCATCTCCAGGACCTTCACTCAAAAGCCCATTGGTTCTCCCTGCGGACCTCCTCCTCTTCCTCGGGAGTAAAGTCGTTCTTAATGTTGAACGTCTTGCGAATCTCCTCAGGTGTTTTTCCCTTGATCATGTCCGCCACTGTTTGGCAAGTCAGGTCCAGCAAGCTCTTTATGTTCAAATAATTTGCAGCCTATAAACAACACAACTCAATAACATGTTTTCTCAATTAGTTTTACTACCAACAGAATACAGAAATACGTCATAGTACAAAGAAACATACATTGGGCACGTTCATAAGATCCTTTGCTAGAGCCTAGAGACAAGTAAAAATATTAAAAATCCAAGGGCTTCAGAAGCACTTGGGAGTGCTTTCCTAAAGAAGCACTTCCTATCACACCCAGAAGCACTTCTAAATTTTTTCTGCCAAACAGGCCCGTTGTAATCTTGTAGTCATCAAGTGATTAGTAAATATATAAGCACGAATCATAATTAAAAAATATTTAATAATTAGACAAACAAATTCATGAATTTATTCCCCTAAAAGTTTCTAAAAACGTCAAGACTTAGCAATCAGATAATCAGAAACCCTAAGGTAATAAAGCTGTAAAGTAATCGAACTGCAACAGCAGAATCGAAAAAGGAGGAAAAAAGAAGCAGACCAGGATGAGATCGAAAAGCGTGGCCTGGTCGACCTTGACGAATTCGGCGTCCCAAGCCTTGAGGTCTTCATCGACGGCAGGGCGTTCTTCGGGCTTAGCGGCCTCGACGTGCTTCCGGCAGTACTCGATGACCTTCGCCAAGATCTTGCTGGTGACGTTGGGCAGAGGGATCCCGTTGTCGGCACAATCGTCCTCCACCATGTGCTTTATCGTCTGAGACTCCAAAGCCACCGCCTCGTCCACCTCAAAAGTCTCCCCGTCCGAGCTCTTCAGAGTTATCTTCCTCTCCGACGACATCGTTTGGGTTGCTGCCTTAACCTGAAAACCCGAGAGAGAGAGATGATATTGGGATTTGATAGAGAACTGGAGAATTTGGAGGAAAAACAAAACAAGGTAATTTTATAAGAAGCCCGACAACTAGCTTCTCATTCTAATATAATATTTTTATTTAATAATTTAGTAATTTTATAAAAGGCATCTATGTTTTCATGGCCTACGACATGATTGGAATAGTTAAAATAATTCTCACTCTTATTTTTATTTGTCGGAGAATTTTATTGAAAAATTTCCAGAACGATTTATTTTAACGAAAAAATTACATTTTTACATTAAAAAATTAATGCTGATACTATTTACTTTAACGAAAAATTATATTTTTACACTAAAAAATCAATATTGATACTATTTATTTTATCATTTATTTTGTCTTTATAGTTAAAACTCAAAGTTTTTAAACCCTTTTTCATTATTATTATTATTTTTTTGGGTGAAGAATGGAGATTACAACCCAAAGAGGACTGCAAAACAACAACAAAACGAGTCCAAGAGACTCCAGCAGCATCATCAATAAGAGCTGATTTAATTCAAACATGATCAAATACAAGACCACCAATATCTATATTATAACTTCAGTTAGCCAACTGATCCGTCACAATATTCTTTTCTCTGTAAATGTGATTCAATTCACACCTCCTCAATTATCTCATCATTAATCTGCGGCTATGCATAATTGTCTCCAAAGGATGAAAATTATCAACTTGGGTTTGCTTCAACAACATAACAATAGCCTTGAAATCCATCTCAATATGAAGATCAGAAGCACCCTTATTAATAGCAAGCTGTAAACCAAATCAAATGATGTGCATTATTGACTATATGAAAATGTTGTCAGCTCTATAACACGTATGTGGCGTTAATTTTAAAACGTGTAATAGAGTTCTTGTCATGTGAGTTTTTAGCACAAATTGAAGGTTCAACAAATCAAATGTTTGGATGGTAAAATGTCAGGAAGATGAAGTCAAATATCCCATTTAAACCTATTCCCCATCCAACTGAATCTTCCGAATCATCAGCAACGGTAACAGCCCATTCTAAATGTTTGGGATTCGACTGCTTCATCTCAATCCAACCCCCAAGCTTTGTGAACTCATCAAGTTCTGATTCCAACATCAGAGCAACAGATCCAGTTGACCGATTGTCCTGTGAGTTTGTTCCTAGGGGTGGAACAAGGGCTTCAATCATTGTCTCGGGGGATTTGCGATGCACCAAACTGCTAAAAGGAATTGTAAAAGCTCCAATTCTATGCTCCCCACATTCACCTGATAACTTAGGTAGTTGATAGACCCAGAAGCGAGAGCTTTGCTCCTCTAGGAAGTTGATAGACAATTTGCCCAAAGGTGCTCAAGCAGCGCCCAACCCTACCTGAACTCGGTTGCATTGCCAGTACGGAAACAAACTGAGCCAAGGAAACAACAACATTTGATTTTTTTCACCATTAAGCCAATTGCACTGCCAGTGGCCCAAATGATGAAAGATCAGTAAGGCCCTTCCCCTGTCATGAGAAAACAAAATCATCTCTGATTTACTAAAATCCATAACAAGACCGATGTAACACCAAAATATGTAAACTTTTCAGGCATGATTGCCGCAAAATAAACACTCTTACCAATGATATGGTGACCCTAGCTGAATCTCAAAATAAACTTAAAGAACCGAAAAGATCACGGACTAGGATAAACACCGAGTAAGCTATATGCAAATTATGTAAGCGTTAAATGTTCTGTAAGCAAACAGATACTATCGTTAGGTAGATATTACTTTGTGAGTCATGACCATAATACTATCAAATAAGCACCTGAAAAGCATTCCAATTTCCACTGATGCATACATATCTTATCAGAAAGAAAAGGAAAAGGAATACTGGAAAAAATCTAGGAAACCATTGACATCAATACGTGTAATACCTGGTGAGAGGACTAGTAATAACCGCAACATCCCTGCACTGAGCTCCCACTGGAATTGCAATTGCAGACAACCAGTTGCTACCATTTGCCGTATAGGAAGCTTTTGCTAGAGAAGGTGGGCATTCTGAAAGATCAATGCCCACTCTTGTGCCTTTGGCCGGCCACGAATTCTGCAACAAGCGTATCATTCTCCCTAACAGTAGTTTCAAAAACAAACCTCGAATCAACCCCAGTTCTCATTCCGGCTCGAGTAAGAGCATCAGAGCTGTGATCAACCTCATCCTCACTATTAAGTGTTAGGAATGTCGGTACTACAAGATAGAGAATGCTCAAGGTAAACTAGAAAATGGACACCAAGAATTTATGTGGTTCGGCAATTTATGCCTACGTCCACGAAACAAGGATCAATCTTCACTACATGAAAAGAGATGAGTACAACAAGAGTAGTCTTACCAAGCCAAAGACAAGGCTTGATGGATACAAGAAAGTATGACATACACTTTCTATCACTCTAAACTTCACTCACAATGTGTAGTGAAACACTCTCACTCTCACTCTCACTCTTGGAGTGGAACTCTAGCTTTGGACTTGATCCTTTGCTACTCACACTTGGTTCTTAATTGGTTACTTCACTACAACATCACACCCATATTTATAGGTGAGGGTTTGGCATTCTACTAGTTTACATTGTATTCTTCAAACCTCTGGCATAGAAAGATCTAGACTAGCCACAAAATTGTAGCTTCTAGATCTTTCCGTTTGCAACCAAGGAAGCTAGTACTCTCTAGCTTCTTCCATCAACTTAATAACATGCTAGAATTGTCTAGCATGCTCCAACCACCTCATTTGCTTACTAGAATAATCTAGAACATTGATCATGGGCTGGACCATATTCCAACATTAAGCACAAGTAAGAATGCCCCCAAGAGATCAACCTCATCCGCATATAAGTGTTTAATAGCTTAGTGCTTTATTAGTCATCTATATAATCTGAATAAAAGCTTGTTTCGGAATGCTTCTGGAATTGCCAAAAGTGCTTTCAATTCATATAATCAAAACTGCTTTTAGCAGTGTTTAGCAGCAGAAACTAAAAATGCTTCTGGGTTATAGAGGCACTTATAAGTGCATTCCGGAGAAGCACCTGCTAGGCTGCCACACTTGAATTTTGAATTTCTTCCAATAAAAGCAATTGTAGCAGAACATTCCCCAAAATTTCTCACCATGGGTGCTATAGTATTTCAAATCAAATTACTATCAGCTTCGCTTAAGGTTGGTTATTAACTAATTAAATCTGATCAAGCAAACAGCAAAACGAATTAAAACATAAAAATATATGTGACAAAAATGGAAAGGAGCATTTTCGGAAATACCGGATGTCGGGGGTCTGAAGGCTGAGGGCGGCCATGGACGAGGCTGCCGAACAGTTCCTGGGTCGATTT